ATGTAATAGAGAGAAATCGGGATCGGAATCGAGGAACGACCCTTTCGGGAGAGAGAAAAAAACATCCAAAGGGAAAAAAAAAAAAAACATCTCGCAGGCAGGATTTCAAGGGGAAATTCGCATTCAGACTAGTTCCAACCGCCAGTGGGGGGATCTACTGGTGATAGTGTGTTGAGGGGGCCCGGGGAATCAAACAGCAATTTGCGAGACGCAAATTTGAGAAACTGTGATTTAAACAGTCGGACCACACTTCAGTCCCTGACCAGGATCAACAGCACCCATCAGATCAGCACCTCGATCACAATGCTGCGCCATCGTCACATCTTTTTGTGTGAATCCGCGTGGGCGATGGGTCGTCCAGTGCACATCGACGGAGCCAATCCGCTAACGAGGCGTCAGCCTTAATTTAATTTCTTTTACCCGATTCAAAACTTCCCACTTACAACTGTCATAGTGGGATGATGTTTCTTGGACGCACTCTCGGCCGCAATCATATTAACAAATGCCTATAGATTGTCAGTTTATCCAGTCTCAACACAGGAAGCAGAAGCAGCCCCAGTCCTGGTCCAGACCAGACCAGGAAAAAAAAAGACTCACCACAGCCTTGAAATAACTCTTGAAATGAAAAGTCTTCGTGACTCCCATCCCGTCTCCATCCTGCACCCAACCCTGCTGCAATAAAGCATCAGCATCGCGGGTAAGTTGCTGCGCATCCTCGCCCTCGGCAAAATGAAACGCGCTGGATGCCATTCTCGGGAATTGGTGCGTGAGGGGGAATGCGGGTGCCTGCGGCGAGAGTCGGGTGAAAGGTCTATTTGAGATGTATCTCGCACAGAGACGCATGGAAGTGAGACACTTCATTTTTCAGGACAAAGCTGGGGGATTGGAAAGAGGAGAGTTGTCAATTGTGCACGGGCCAGTGTCTTATCGCGGTTATGTGAGACTTCAATGCTATTCTTATTCACGCATGGATGTATTCATAGACATTTTTATATTATGCATGGATATTTATATCTGTCTATTCGTCTATTCATAGCATTTGCCATAGAACTGCCATTTATTCCAAATATATTATTCCACTTGAAATGCATCCCTAAGCTCCCAAGTCATATGGTCATCGGGAGAAGGGAAACCAAGAAACTGTGCTGGATATGATTTTATGAAAGGTCCTGAATCCATACGTATACAGTACATGTGTAATATATCGTATATATGAGAGTTGCAATAAGAGTTTTGAGTAGCCCATATACACAGGCTACTCGTTTAGAGCGGAATATGACACGCATATTGGCTTTAAATCTTCAAGAACAACACATAAGACTTACAAGTATCTCACCAGCTTGGTGCGACCGAGTATTCATTCCAGGCACCTCTATCCGCATCTCCGAATTTATCGATATCGATCCCTCCCTCCACCCTATTTTCACGCACTGTCCATACACCACTTTCAACCATCACTATCCACCGTTCAAACAGGCTCTCCAATCTCTGCGATCGCCGTTCACCCCCAAACGGATACAAGTAACCATGTTAAAAGAGTGCCATGAATGAGCCCGAGGGAACTGGTCTCCCATCACTCATCCTAGCCCCGTCCATCTCGGAAGAAACCAGGTCGTAGTGCAACTGGAAGCACGAGACAGAAACCTGCCTCCTCCATATCATAATCTCTTCGACGGACAGGTTCACTATTCACTACAGAGCATCTCGATCTCACTCAAAACATAGAAAACGAATCAAGCCCATACGCACCGACTTGTCAATCACATTCCTCATGTTCACCAGAAAGCAGCAGTTTCAACCAAGAGGGGCGTTCAATGTCTGTAAACCTGGACGATAGGATTTACAGTCCCTCTCACCTCATCTTAAGGCACGCATTCATAGTCGGTCCGGGACATCAAATCCGGAGTGACAAGGATTCTGTGCCCGGAGATGCTCGAGCATCTGCAGGAATATCCCGGTCTCATTCTCGACCGGAACTTCTGGTTCCCCTTCGTCCACCATAGATTATACCGCTGCTCTTTTGGGCGAAATGGCACCACCCATGGGACATGCCTTGGCTTATGTAGGTGCGTATGCAAGCACAGCTGGCCCAGGTTCCGACTTTGTCGATTCTATGATATCCCAAGAGCGGGAGAAGCTTGTGCGAAATTTTCACAGTTACACCGATACCCCGGAATTCTGCCTGGCTGCGATTCATGCTGTATGCATTTATCAGATTATTGGGCTGCTTGGAAACAGCATCATACCTGCTGCTGTTAAGAAGCCATTGTTTAGCAATGGAAGCGAGGAGCAACATGCCGAAATCTGTAGCTCATTCTTGTTGAAGGTGAGCTACACCCATTCATGTTATAGCTGATTTACTCACAACATGAAGATGACCCGACGACTGTCGAGTATCCATTCGAAGGCCCTCCAAATCCACCACGAGGGATGAAAACGATTGGAACCAATGGAAATTCATGGAATCCCTTCGCTGGAAATTCTTCTTCGTTCATATAACCAACATTCTGGAGTCAAACGAACGAAAGTTAAACGAGAGCTACTTTGAGCCACTGAACGACAACTTGATTCTCAGGTTTCCACTTCCTGCCCGGAACGAATGTGGCGGGCATGTAGGGCCGAAGAGTGGATGCTTGCGAGTACACAAAATCTGGGAATTCAAATTCACTCAACTCCCCAGGAAGTTGTGAACAACCGACTCTTCGGACACTGGGAAATGTCTTGCAGGCAGTCCACGCAGGAAAGGTGGATGTCGCGTCGTTATTGCCACTTGCTCGTAGGATCCTGGCGAGCGATATCGTTTCCCTACCAATAACTGCATCGTTCTAGTCAACACCTTTAAGTTTCTATGCTTTTAGGCTTAGTCGTTAGGTTTAAGTTATCATGTGTGTGCATTGACCCATCTCGAGTGATTTTAGACTTGGACTTTAAAAAGCGGCAAGAGGTGAGTAGTAAAAAGGGGAAAGGTCTGCAGTGCCAGGAATACTCCGATACATGCATATGCATGTACTAGAGGTATGTACATATGGAAAAGGCTCGGCAGAAACTCGTATGTACCTCGCAACCTTGAAAGGTACAAATGTAATAGAGTGATATTAGACTACATTTAGCATTTAGCGCTAGCCCTAACCAGGAGTGTCTGGCCCCGGTCCAAAGATAAAGCCACAAGCCACCGATGTGACCCAAGCTTGAGAGTATAGTGATTTCACAGGCTATGATTAAAGCGGTTTCTTCTCTCGAATCAAACAACTTCGGCTTCCTTGACTATATCCGATCCTGGCCGGATCCGGCCAGGGGTTAATCCTGACCTTCGGCAAGAATGCCACATCGTCTCTACCGTGTCCTTGGCGTCGGGACCGATCAGAGACCTAATATTGTACTAATGTACTAGTAGATCGAGCTCGGGATACATGCTTGCAGTCCTTGTGATACCCAGCCACTATTTCACCTCTAAACTGTAAACCATTACATTACTTGTCAGACAGAAGTCAGGTGTCTTCACCTCTACTACATTGTATACTCAATATAACCATAAAGCAACCTGATCAGCCAATAATAATGGTATAATTCATAACTGGTATCGCTCAGTCGCGAACACGCATAGCATACATGACAACCCGCCCAGATCGCAAATCTTGTCTTTCGAGTCAAAGCAAGCATAGAAAAACAAAAGACGAATTAATTTTAGTAACCCGCGTCAGTTATCCTCCCAGTTCAATCCTCCCTCATATTTAAAGTGCGCAGGGCCAAAAAGCCACAGACCGGGAGTGGGATATCCACCGAGCGTCAGGTGCAAGAATTAGAGCCAGCCACGCACATCGTAGGTTGACGCGATTGAAAACATTCACTGAGAGAAAATGTGAAGATGCTCGTATATTCCCATCACAGTGACTTCAGTCCCATCACTACTCCCACTGGAAATGAGTATTCACAGCAAAAATTAAACAAAGAACAGCGATTAAGTATTGACGTTGATGCTGTTGCGACGTGAATTGGCGCGAGAGTTCACCTGAGAATTGACCCGGGAGTTGCCTCGGCTGCCGAGTGTTGGGCGGATGCGGAGGTCTTGCTGGGAGCGCGCGTACGAACTGGCGCGAGAAGCCGGAGGGATCTTGGAGCCTCGTCGGCTCTGGACCTGCATTTGGTGTCGAGCATCCTCCAGCTGCTGGGCGAATGGAGAACGCTTGCGCAATGCTGGGCCCTTCCAGTAAATGATATAGACCGCAATGACAAGTGGTATGGAGATACAGACTAGAGTAAACATTAGATCGACGGCTCATGTAGGGGGATAGGGCAGGATAGACATACAGAGAATGGTTGAGGCGTATTCAAGATGATACTCGCCACCGATATCTGTCAAAAACTGTCAGTGCGATAACGCGGAAACTTGTTTCATGTGACAACTTACTCGTGAAGAACGGCGTGGCTGGAATAGTGAGGACACCAGCAAGGAAGTCTCGCGACCACCCGTTGCCACCGGTCGCAGAGGCAGAGTATGGCCCGTAGGCGCAGATCATGTAGTCAATCGTGGCCATGTAAATAGCATAATTGGCAATACCAATGATGGCAGCAAAGATCATAGATCCAATCCAGTGGCACTGAGGCAAACTGGTCCAAGCAAATCCGATCAGACCAATGGGTAGGCAGGGGACAGTATACAACAGCCACCATAAGCGAGACTCATACTGTGCCCGTTCGCTCTCCGGATTGTCGCGGCGCTCTTTGATGTTGCGTTTGATGACCGGGAAGAAGGAGAACCAAGCGATGAAGTAGCCAACCACAATTGGGATGAAGGCCAGGCCCTTCTGCCAGGTGTTGAAGCCCCACTGGCCGTACACAAGGGAGAGCGACTGAATGAACATGAAAATAAGGGCATCGCTGAAACCACTCAGCAGAGAAAGCACCAATACAATAGGTTCCGTCAGGAACATTTTGAAGGGACGAATCCAGGTAGCCATAAGCTCACGAGGCGGGAAGCGCTCGCGGAACGACATACCCTCAGTAGGTCCATAGATGTGGGGGTTCTCGCCGGACTTGCGCATCGATTTGGCAATCCGATCCATCATCACAGTAGTTCTGGTTTCTGGGACGAACAGATAGTGGGCAACCTGCACGAAAACACCGAAGATCAACTGAATCCAGATATTCCACCGCCACGGCAGGAAAGCCTCGACGAAGCCACCAACTACCGGTCCAAGCACGGATCCGCCAACCGACGAGAACACGACAGCAGCCACGGCGTACTGCTGCGAATCGGGCTCCCACATATCGGCAATCATTCCTAGGGTGACAGAGCCACCAGCAGTGGACAGACCACCTAGGGCACGACCAACCATGATTGAGGCGAAGTTGGGCGCCAGAGCCACGGGGAGCTGAAAGACATTGACAAGGAACAGAGATGCCTGGAGAATGGGCTTGCGACCCAGCTCCTCGCTCCATGGTGCCCAGAGCTCACAACCGAAAGCGTAAAGAACCAAGAAGATCATGGCACCACATCGCGCTGCCTGCATGGAAACATGGAACTCCTCTGAAATTCCCGCGGCAGCGTTTGAATATAACGATGTATTGAAGTTCATCGATGTCTGTACAAGGAAGATCGTAGTGATAATGATCCACTTCTTTTTTTCAGTGAACGAGTATCCCAGTTGATCGTAGCACATGTCTTCGGTGAGCTCGACTACACCCCCGGGTGAGGGCGATGCTTCCTCGAGCTGATCCTCTTCCTCCAACTTTTCAGTAGCGGCATTAACAACGGCTTGGGCGTGGGCAGCTTCTGCTGCCAGCACGGTATCCCTCCCGGTTTTCTCGGAGTCGATCGTCATTGTTGTGACGTCTAGATTGTCGTAAGGGTAAACTGGTAT